AAACGCAAAAAAACAGGGTAAACTGGCAGATCTCTGGCCGGTCGACCGCAGCACACATGCCGGTCGACCGGAAAACCTGCACGGTGCAGGGTTTGAGAAACCTCTCTGGCCGGTCGACCGGACCAAGCCTGGCGGTCGACCGGATCGCGATTTCTGGGTTTCCTGTTTCGTTTTGGATTCTGTTTTAACAGGGATTCCTGATTCTTTTGGGTTTGTTTATTTACAAGATTGCCATCCACGTTTGCACATCTATAAATAGGATTGTTTTAGGGTTCTAAACAATCAGACCTAAGGGAAGAGAAATTCTAATAATTGTATTAGGGTTTAGAGAGAGAGTTGAGGGGTTGTTCTCAATTCTAGCGAGATTGTGAGGGAGAGATTGTAATCTTTTGTTCTTCATAATCTAGAGAAGGTATTTTCCTTCGCCTTATACTGAATTATTCTTGTGTTTTGGTCATCCTCTTCTCAACCCACCTTTTGGTAATTCCGCGACCAAAGAGTGCTCGCACGACGACTTGTATCAGTATTTCTTCAAAACGCGTGCCTCACATGCACGAGCCCAAGCATGAGCTCCATGAAAGCCAAGTTGAACGCAGCCCTCAGTGGCACACTGTTCAATCAAAACACAGACCTCACGAAAGCGTTGATTCTCCAAAACACAACTCTTAGGAGCATATTATCCAATCAAAATGTAACTCTCAGGAGCGCATTATTCAATCAGAACGCAACCCTGAGGGACGTGTTACTCATTTAGAATGCAACTGCTAAGGGAGTGTTTCACCAAAAAAACACAGACCCTAGGCCTGCGTTGCTCAAACAAAATGCGACACTTGTGTTCCCGTCCTCAAACATAGTTCTTGCATTCCAAATGCTGAACGTGGCTCTCGCTTCCCTTCTCCAAACCACGATGTGGTACGTCGCGTCTACTGATGGACAGGAGGTTCCATCTTCAACCTAACATTTAGTAAGAGATTCTCAATCAAACCGTTCAAGAATACACTACGGAGTTCCAGCAGCAGGCAATGGTTCTTAACGTTGCGACAGAGGAATATTCCGTGTTCATGAAGTATATGGCGGGATTGAGCGATTACATCCGGAAGGAGATGAGGTTATTCACGGTCGAGACTATTGCAGATGCGAGCGTGAAGGCCATTGCCATTGAGGGCAAGCAAAAGAAGAGCAACGAAGCAAAGGGGGATGCAAAGCAAGTTGGAGGCGAGTCTAGTGGTTCTCAGTTTAAGGAGGAGAAGAAGAAGGGTGATCCAGGGAAAGCAGGGCTGATTTGTAGTCACTGCGAGAAGACATGTCACGAAGCTGATCGGTGCTGGGAGAAGTATCCTCATCTAAAGACAAGAGGGTTGAAGAAGAAGGAGGAGAAAAAGGCATACATGATAGCTCAAGGTCCGAAAGAAGTCCCGGGGATGACAGAACCTAATAGCAGTCTCAATCTTATGACGGGGAAACAGGCCACGAAAGAGGACAATGACCCGAGAGAGCAGCTCTTTGTTCTTAAATTGCAAGTGAATACCAGTTTGGTTGATGCCATAGTTGATCCGGGCAGCGAGAAGAATTTGATATCCGAAGCCTTGGTTCAGAAGCTGCGTCTGAAGACGGTCAAGCATCCGAATCCCTATCCATTGGGGTGGATTCAGAAGGAGGAGAAGCTATGTGTAGTTGATCAATGCACTGTAAGATTTGCGCTCCATGAGTCGTATATTGACGAGGTCACATGCGACGTAGTTCCATTGGATGTTTGTCAGATTATACTGGGCAATCCGTACTTATGGGATAGATATGCGATCTACGAGAGGCGGGCTCAGAAGTATACATTCACCAAGGGTGGTGAAAAGTTCATATTTCGTTCGGCATCTCTTCCGAGGGAGACAAGCTTGGGAACGGTGACGCGAGCGAAGAGGTTAGTGAATGCAAGCAAGAAGTTTGTCTCGCTGTGCATTAGACTTCCAGAAAAGCCATCGATTAAGGATTGCAACTTGGAGCGAGAAGTGACTACGACGAGACGCGGGATGAATGAGTTATTTCCGATCGGACGTCAAGATCAGATTCCTAGCAAGGCCAGGTGGTTCAGAAAAGGAGGAGGGGCTCGCGAGTTCCCTCAGTTTCAGTTCTAACTTGAACGGGACTTCAAGTTCCTAAAGGGGGGACCCATGATACGGGTGTATCTTCTCTTCAGGAGCTTAGCGATCCTCATGGGAGCTTGAGGATAGAAGATTCTCATATCTTGGGAATAGGAGCATGGATGATGCCAAAGAAGACGACGAAAGAAGTCAACAGGAGTGAAACGCAAAAGAACAGGGTAAATTGGGACAGGGATTCCTGATTCTTTTGGGCTTGTTTATTTACAAGATTGTCATCCACGTTTGCACATGTATAAATAGGATTGTTTTAGGGTTCTAAACAATCAGACCCAATGGAAAGAGAAATTCTAATAATTGCATTAGGGTTTAGAGGGAGAGTTGGGAGGTTGTTCTCAATTCTAGTGAGATTGTGAGAGAGAGATTGTAATCTTTTCATACTCATAATCTAGAGAAGGTATTTTCCTTCGCCATACTGAATTGTTCTTGTGTTTTGGTCATCCTCTTCTCAACCCACCTTTTGATAATTCCACGACCAAAGGGTGCTCGCACGGCAACTCGTATCACAGTGTTGACGGAATGCGGTTGCTCTGAAACTAAGTCAAGAGTCTCCGTATTTCAAAGATTGTCTACGGAGGCGTCAAGACCCAAAATAAGGCGCTTCAACAAGAAAAGACCTGCAATTCGGCGAGATGAATTCCCTGAGGTCACCACTAATATGACCGGCAGAGGAAAGCAGTTATTAGTCAACCCTTACCCTGATTTCTCTCCAGAAGGGAGAGTTGAGCAGGGTCTATCTCAAAGAATGTTACGGTTACAAAGAAGAGCTAACCGACGTCGAGACTATAAAAGAATGCACGAAGGTTTATCTTCAGAAGAGGAACTGTCAGATACTTGTTCCGCTATTGCGTCAGACGGTACTACGTCCAGTGTTGGGCGAGCCAGAGAATCATTCGCAATCACGCCAGATCAATTGGCTCAGATACTGCAGGAAGCGTTAGCTAAACAACGCGAGGAGATCAGAGCTAAAATCAAAACCGAGATGGAGTTGACTATGCAGCAGGTTCAGGATTTGCAAATTCAACAACATCAACCGGAATCGAGCCAAAAGGCGGAATCCAGCAAGCGTAACGCTAGACCTGTGCATACAACTGAGGACGGTGACGAAGAAGATGAGACTATCTTTGCTGATCCTCCTCCTGATAAAGACAATTCTGGAAGCGGCCCAGCCAAATCATCCACCCAACCTCCTCAAATTTACTTGAAGAAGAGTGAGGAAGAGGACAAAAAGATGCAGGACCTTGAGAGCAAAGTCAATGCTCTAATGACGGCCCAAGAAGTGAAGGAAGCTGAATTAATCTTCTCTTCCTCTGTAATCGAGAGAGAGTGAGTGATTGTAAGGGTTCGTACTAAGCGATCGAACCCAGTTTTTTTAAAACAAGAGAATCAATCAATCTTAAATTTTTCGACCCTACAGACGATGGTGACTACAGTGGGAGCAGCTATTCTCTCCGACGAGATGGTGGTGGCGCAATCAGACAAGATTACAGTGGGAACGGACGTTGAAACTCTGGTCATCGAATTTGACCAGTCCAAATACGAGGGGTACCTCTCCTCTGGTAAGTCTAGTCCCATGAAGGCACGAAAGTGTCGTCGAGTCTCGTATGAGACTTCAACCCAAGTGGCTTCTGATGATTCAACTCGAGTTAGCCTCGAGGAAAAGTCCAAGCCTCTCAAAGAGGAGGCTCCAGTAATTAGTCGCCAGGCTAAGAAATGGGTTGTCAAGCAACCTAGCCGAACTTCGGCTTCTACCAGCCAAATCATGACTCTTGATAATGAACCTCGCCCAGCTTTGGCTGAGGCAAAGGTTTCCGTTATTCCATTGTCGAGACGTGCTCGACAACATCAACGTCAGAATCAAGCTCGCCGTAGGGCTCGAGCTTTGGTCTCGCTAGATGGTTTTCATTATAGACCGAAGGTTAATCAACCTAAGGTCAACAAGTCTGACGAGGGTCAGGTGAATGAGGAACATCCGAAAGACGGACCTCATCCTCGTACCCAAGTAGACTCAAAAAACGAACCTCATCCTCGAAGAGAGGTTCAACGAAATCAACAAGTGGTTCATACCGAGGTTCATCATGAAAACGAACCTCGAGTTAAGAATCGACCGAGAAGACAGACTCACCAAATTCGTCCTAATAACGAACCTCGTCATGCAAATGACGGAGTTTGTCAATTTATCCAAGGTCATCAACCTCTATCATTTGGAGGATCTCACTTGGGTAAAGCTATGATGACAGAACTGATTGAGGGTCGTCCAGATGGTGACCTTCGAGATTATCTCACGCGCAAACGAAGCATGAATCAGATGCAATCACATTGCTACTGTGAGAAGCTTATATCTGCGGTGCTTTCCCAATGTCCATGTGGGGAGTTAACACATAAATCTTCAGTCTTCGAATGATTGACTGAATCTCTAAGTGTTTCATCATTAAAAAGAAGACGGTTTCGTCCCAAGAGACAAGCGCCCAAGAATCGTCGAATTGAAGTGACGATCAACATGGCCAGCAAGGGTAAAAGCAAAATCTCAACTGATGATTCAGAGTCTTCTGATTTTGAAAGATCTCCTGGATTACGAGAGGCACTTATTGAAGGCCAGGGCGTTTATCAACATACCCGTTCTCGTACTGGAGCGATGATCCTATTAGACTACCGCAAACTGGCGGGTTTATCTGGTGGTGCTGAACCTAAAAATTCAGCTATTGCTACTTCTCAGCCCTCCAACACCGATCAAAGGAACAAGTAAGTGCTCACATGGCCGAAAGTGAGGATGACCTAGCGAGTTAGTTGGAAGAGTAAAAATCAACCATCCTGAAGCTGCAGGAATCCATCAGACGCTTGGAAGCGATGGTGGAGAGACTCCATAAGGAGAAGGAAAAGAAGAAGAAGAAGACTCATTCCCAAGCCTCAGGGTCTAGGCGTAGAATTCCTTCACCTGTTGATGAAGATCACTACGATGAAGACGATGAAGAGAAGGTTGTGAAAATTCATTCTGAATCGTCTGAAGCTGAATCTAATCCTCGTACGAAAGAACGAGATCAGAAGTGGGAGGAT